CTAATGCGTGTACACAAAACCTCGTTGCCTGGCAATCTGAAAACCGAAGTTAAATGGAAAAATATTAGGAGTTCGAATCCCGGTGGCCGAAGTGAATTTTAACACGGCATAATTCTCCAACCCTCACCTCAGTCCGGGAAAAACGCTGTGTAGCCTAAAAAAACAGTAAGGTGTGAGCAAAAAATAAATAAACTTGATCAATACTTCTTGCTGCTTGGGTAACGGAAAGATCAAGTTAGATAAAAGAACTTAACAATAGATCGATCGAAAAACACGTCTTTTCAATGTCTCGTTTAAAATGAATCCCAAATCTGCAAGAGGAATAAGCAAACGTTGTTATTAGTTAGTGTTTATTATACACGGCATATATTTGTATGAAAAATGACAAACAACTATTTTTCCATCATATACTTTTTTTTTTAAACATTTCTTTACTGAGTAATATTACATTTTGTCTCAATTAAGGATATTAGTAATAGTCATAGATAAATCTTAAAGCCAAAGTTTTGAATACTTGTGTTTATCCTTCCATTTTCTACACAAACCTGGCCATTGGCAAGGAAACTTGAACTCAGGCTGAACGTTATGCAGATGAAGCATTTAAGGAGTTTGATGTCAATCAAGAAGAGAGAAAAAAAAATAAAGACATTCTCCGAAAAGTGGATATTAAAAGCTTAAGGGCTGAAGCTCATCGGATAAAGCGGAATTGGGCTGAATAAGAGGGTGAAGGATGAAAGATGGTAGAAAGCATGTACCGAATGGATCTTAAGAGAGAACAAGAGGAAAAGAAGTCGCCCTCTGAAGTGGCGGGATGAAATGATACAACATGTAGGCGATAACTGGTGGCTTGTGGCTAGGGATAGATACAGGTGAAAACAAGTTATAAACAATATTTAGTTGCTTTGTTTTGTTTTATTACATTCTGTTTATCTTTTTATTAACAGAGTGCTTATAAGACTGTTCTGTTTACTGTATGAGTTCATTTTGTTTTGTTTTTCTTAGGCCTTACATGGTAATTTTATAAAAAAAATAAATAAATAAATCAATAAAGCTTATTATTATAGTCACTGAGTAGTTCATTCATAGTGTATGTACAATAAATAAAAATAAATTGAACAAAATAAAAGATAGATAATAATACTAAATATAAATAAATATATGAGTTGGTAAGAGGGAGGAGTGTACGATCAAATAAACACCAAATTGTTAAAATAGTATTTTATTCGAATATAAAATTCTATTTTAACAATTTTATATTTATTTGACCGCACCCCCCCCCCTACCCCTGACCAACTCTCATATTATAATCACGGTCAACTATCTCTACACAATTATAAATAAATAAACATAAACAAAAGAAAGCAAAATAAAACGACTGGAAGCTTGTTAAAAAAACATTGTTGTATGTAAAATAAAGCTGAAAAAATTGAAATAGAAATTATTATATATTTTTCACTATCTTCTATTGTCTCCGAAATATACGTTCTCGTAGTAAAAAAAAAAAATGTTTTTGTCTCGCATTTTTATTATTACTTGACTCAATAACTCCTGATTTTTCTAATTTTTACCAGACTGAAACGACAAGAAACCGCTCGACGTTTACGATTACTACAGCAGTTACAAGACAAACGCTTTAAACTTCCAATTAATTAAAAAAGACTCATATACATAACAATAATAAGGCCTATTTGGACTTACGGAGTTGAGCTATGGGGCTCCACTAATCCATCGAATTCCTCTCGTATCCAATCCGTTGAGTCCAAAATCCTTCTTAAAATCCTTAATGCTCCCTACTTTGTTACAAATAAAACCATCCATAATGACCTTAATATAATATTTGGGATGTTTCAGAATCATCCCAACCCTCTCGTTTGTAGCCTAGCTTCCTCTTCAATTCCTGATAACCCTCCGAGGCGTCATAAAAGAAGATGGTCCCGTGATCTCCTAATAGCTTATCCTAATAACTTATCATTAGAGTGCTACCATTGGGTAGTTTCTCAACAAATGTTTTCACACCATTATATAGGTTCAATTTACCAAAATCACATCATACCATAGGTTCAAATTTACGAAATGAATTTCTTTAATACAGTTGTAAACATCATTGCGAAATAAAAAAAAATCCATTTTACGAAAAAATCATGAGCAAGAAAGTTGTTAAACATTAAATGTCCTTTAAAAATGTGCATTACTTTACTATCTTATTTTAACCATTCAATAGCTATAGCAATTATAACTTTATGTTTAAACTCTGAAACTATGTCGAAAAACTAACTTTTCGTAATTTCTGTTATTACACAACTTTGAGACCTTAAACTTATATAATTCAGTATACATTGACTGCGTTCAACTCTATAAATTTATAAAATGATTAATAACTGTATAATAACGAAAATTAGGAAAAGCAAGATTTTCGAAGATTTAGGAAATACTGATTTCCATCGGCAGACTTTTTTAATCCATGTTTGATAAGTAAAAACAAAACTGGTTTCTAGAACAATAAGTAATATTTGAAAACTTATTCTCTTGTCTGTTGAAATGTATTGATAGATTGAAAAGGAATATCTTATGATTCCTTTCTGATATTCTCTAAGTTCGAAAATTCAAACAAATCCCGATGATCCAAATTTCACAAGTATTGACTTTCCCATCGCTAACTTATTCAAGCCTTTGTTTTGACTCCTGGCGACAAACTTCCTAAGCCTTTCAAAGTCCCTCTCCCCTCCTCACCGCTCCTACCTAATTCACAACGCGTCATCAACCACTTAACAGAGTCTTTTTTTTATTTACTTAACTTCTCATTAGTTAAATTATGTAAAATAAACAATTCTTAAAATAAAATAAAAATATATTATTAACAAAAATAAAACGGGAACTTTAATAGTTAACTTTTTCATAAACTGTTCGCAATATCCTAAACTCAACTAAATATTTTAGGAAAGAATTTTAATTTTTTTTTAACTTCGCTGAATAGTTTTGAGAATAAATTATAGTCCTGATATTACACAAATACATCCAAACCACTTCACGACCTATCGATTAGTCAAAAACATCGAACAAGAAAATTCCATCAACGAACTCCTATCTATCTACTAAACTAACTTTTTTAGTCTTTGCCACACTAAAAACAATTCGAGTTATTGTTTAGTAACATCACATTCACACTATATGTACAGAAAATACAAAATAAAAAGAAGAAAAAAATCTGATGTGTCCACTCACACGTCCTTCCTACCTATTTCAGAAAAGTTTTTATATCTTTACATATGTTCATGAAGAAACAAAAAAATTGATTTTCCTGAAAATTTTTCAAAGAAAAGATTTGAGTACGATTTATTTGATAAACTAAAGCAATGTAAACCGGCTTAGAATAGATCAGGATAAAAATTTCACTACTCTCTAATATTATTGGTCAAAAACACTTTGCCATAGTTTAGTATTGTCAAACAATGATTTCTGTTAAAAGTAGAAGAAAATCGATGCGAGCAACAAATTTTCTTACTTTCACTTAGTCATCTTTTTTCTCTCATTCACTCCTTTCTGACACTAGAATATGAACCCGTAATCTTACATTGGAAATATCAGTAACTTCGTTAATAGTTGTCCAAAATGAACGATTTTTATATATCATTGTAGGGAATTTCATTACCTTTCAAAAACTTTATTTAGCCTATATACGAAAATTGAAAGGTTAATTATTAGAACATTATAGGAAAGTTTCATCAAAATCGTTATAGCTGTTTTCGCGCTACGGTCTATAGAAAAACATATTTTTCATTTAGTGCGCGCAAACTATTGCGCATGAAACACCGTATTTCTGTCACAGACATCAGTAGTCAAAACCCTATTAAAAAAAGAAGCAACAAAATCGGTTGAATAGTTCCCGAGAGAATCTTGGCACAGAGAAATGGCTAAAAATGTGTTTTTCGGTCTTGGGAGGCTCTGAAACGTATAGATCCATCGAAAACCACATATCGGAAATTTGACCCGATTGCAATACTTTCCTTACCTAGTATACGCAGGAAAGTAATAACAACTAAATAATAATCGGATATATATAAAATAAATAAAAATAAAATAACTAAATTATCACTAATTAAGAAAACACAAACATACAAATTTACAATCAGTTAAGGTAACTCCAAGTCAGGCTTCTCCCTTCAACAACACAGGGAAAAGTAGGAATCAGGAAAATCTACTCCGTCAACCATATTACGAGTAGTAAAGCCAGAGGAGATTGATTGAGAGCGCTTTAGCTACAAACAATCATGTCTTGAGTAAATAATCTATCCCTTGAACTTCAATATATATATTTTAAGATTAACAAAAAAATAGATAACAAAGTTTGGTTATAATTTTAAAAATCCAATCACACCACTTTGTATCTTTAAAATATAAGTCAGGCAACATCAGAACTGAAAAAAAAGATCACATATACGCTTATATCCAAACACATAATGAGAGGTAATACAGCTGATGAAATTTATAACCAAACAGATGATCAACAAACAGTAACAGATGAAAAACGAAATAAAAATTGTACTCACCAGCGTGTTTTTAATTGTGTTTAACATAATTATTATTTGATGTCATTGCATCAAAGGAAAAACTGAATGAACGAAGTATTTTATTGAAAGGTTTCGGATTATTGAGTTATAGTAAAATTTTCATGGATTTAAGAGTAAAGGAAACTATTGTAAGTTACTAAAAATGTCGAAATTTCTCATTCCTCTCTATTATTAATTTGAAAACAAAAACAGTTATGAATGAAAATAAAATCCTGCAAAATCACTATAATTTCATATCATGTATATTGTATTTAATGTAATCCAAATATACAGAATAGACGAATTAAAGAGAATCGTTCATTTTTAAATATTTAAAAAATATCTGAAATTATCTTATTCTTTATAATAAATATCATAATAAACAATAAATATCATAGTTTATTATTATATTTCTCAGAAGCTAATAAAAAAATTTACGGTATTATGGGGATAATGTCTCAACCGAACGCATCTGTCAAAATTGGTTCGCTAAATTTCATTCAGGAAATCTTCACTTCAATGATGCTCAACGGTCTGGTCCCCACATGAAATTGAAACGAGCAATGTTGAGGCCATTGTTGATCGAAATTCCACCCAATCACTGCGAGAGATTGCTATGGCCATAAATACATCGCACTCAAGCATAGAAAACCATTTGCACAAGCTTCACTATGTTTGCTGGCTTAATGTTTGGGTCCCTCACATTATTTTTTTTTTCTAAAATCACAAAAAATTTTTTAACTTCAATACGACTTTAGTTATCTACAAGAAATTTTGCAAGAATTTAGGGCCACATAAACTACGCAAAATTACATCAACAGGACCTTCGTCAACAAACTACAAATGGAGATAACAAATAAAAACCCAAAGCAGTTTTTGCTTATGCTTATGTAAGCATTAAATAAAAAATATCTTTTTCCAAGAAATAACAAATATAAGAGGATATCAAAAACCATTTGGATCAGTTTTTTAACAATTAACTCCAGACACTCTAAGAACATGGCATGATACTATTAGTGGAAAGATGGGAAAAATTCATATTAAATAATGGTCAATATATTGTAGATTAAAATAAATGTTATGTCTGAAAAACCTTAAGGACTTATTTGCCAATCCAATATTTGAATCAATTCATTTAGAGACAATTAGTAAGGTTTGCGTTTAAAAACCGGCGGAGAAAATTGGAATTACTATTCGCCGAAATTGAGGAAAATGTGCGTGTTAATTAATTACAAAGCGGAGAATAATTACGCTCGAACGGATTTTGAATATATGGTCGAATGGATATTGTTCCAGAAACAGGGACGATCGGCTGGAAATTCTGCACGGATACCTTGTATAAACATTAGAGATAGCCGAATAATTGTAACCAGACTAAAGAGAAATTAGCTAGCTAAAAACATGAAATCAGCTGTTTATTTGTTTTCCTCTAAATTATAGATTCGTACTCCTAGTTCGTGATAAAAAAACTGTTTACAACAAGAATTGCGTTAGGTACATCTCGATTGAGGAGGACTCAAGTGCCCCCTCCCCCCCCCACCTTTGTTACATCGAGATAAATTGAATCTTCCCTTCCAGCCTTGACAATATTTCTCCGGATATTTCCTATACCAAACTATTAACTCCTATCATCCTTATCATCACGATTTCCTGCAATCCAAACCCTTGTTACATATTCATAAAACAAGATTCCGCGTATCTGACCTTTATACCCCTTCCCGAACTTCATTTAATATACAGCTCGCTTTTTCCTTGTCAGTTTTCAGTATCTCATTATACATTACCTCTTCACATCCCAAACACACCACGCTCTTCTATTATGAAATTTTAATTTAAGAATAAAATATTGGTGATACGAATAACAATTTTAATGTTATAATTTTAGCTTTAAGGTCACTGTTTTCAATTTTGCTTCTTTTTTTCTTTATATTTTTTTCGTCTAAGTTCATTAATTTTAATAATATTTATTCTTTTTTTTTTAATTGTTTATAATTATTACATGTAACCATTGGACGACCTCGCACTCAAATAAAAGTCCTGAAAAGCAATGCTCTGTTGGTGGCAACGAAGTTTAGGAATGCCAGATGATGATTTGTACAAAAACATTTACCTTATCCTCAACAAGATTGTACAATTCACCAAGCTTCCTTTTAACTGGATAACAGAGTTACGAAATATTCTAGGTATATTTGGGTGTTGAAAAACAGTGTTTCCTATTAAAGGAAGGTTGGAATGGGATTACTGAGAAAGCCCAAAACTACAGACTGAGCTAAAATATATATACATTTCATCTTGAAAAAGTCATTTAGTTCGATATACAAACAGTTTCAGGTGATGTTGAACGTTGCATCATTTTGAAAACACCAATAGCAAAAACCAAACTGGAAAAAAAAATTATCGAAGAAAGACCATATGGAAATGTTCTCCTTTTTAATCCCCAGTAAATTCCCAATATTATTTAATACTTAAAATATAAATACAAATACATATATTCTGTTGTTATCAATGATACTTTATTTCCATGAAAAAGTTTAAAATGTTAATTTAAGAAGTTTTTTTTTTTAATCCATTCATTGAATAATAATAATAATAATACAATCAGCCACTGCTGGAGGGCTATAAGTATTAGGGGTAAGACTTCTCATTCATACAATATATACACATAATAGAGAAATAAATATAAATATAAAAAGTAAATAAATAATACTGATGAATAAAGTAAATAAAAGAAAAAAAAAAGTAAACAAATATGATTTAAGAAGTTAAAATTGTTGTTTAAGTCAACTCCCCCCCTTGTAGTTTTCTAATTTTAAGTAATAAAAATTCATTATTCTAATTTATTATTGTATTGTACTGTAAATATATATATATGGTGGCTTGCATTGTATTAGATACACCGAATAGAAAAATAGAGAAAAATGATTAAAAGGTTACAATAAATAGTCCATAGTACAGGCCCCTTTTTATCGAATTTTTAACATTCGCCTGAAACTTCATAAATAATTTCATCTCATCGTAACCTACAACTATTTTATTTAAGAAAACTCTCGGAATTGGAGCGTTTTTAATATGGAGGAGGGCAAACTTTGTCTATTTGATTAGGTATTAAGAACTCGTAAATACCCATTTGCTTTCTACTTGGATGTTAAGATAATTTGATCACAAAATCGATAGAAAACGTGGCCTATAAAAATATTGGGTCGTCTTTCCTGTATAACCTCATTATTTAAACAAATTGAGGGTGTAGGTCACGCCAAAGAGATATTTTTAAAGGCCACCATTTTAACGATTTTGAGATAAAATTATCTTACGATCCAAGTAAAAAGAAAATGGCTATTTACGAGTTTTTAGTACCTAATTAAATAGACAAAGCTTGATCTTTTGCAGATTGAAAACGTCCTAATTCCAAGAGTTTTCTTAAATAAAATCGTTGTTGGTTACGATGAGATGAAACTAGATACGAAGTTTTAGGCGGATGTTAATAATTCCATAAAAAAAGGGATCTGTACCACGGACGAAAACAAATAAAACCAGAAACTATTTAACAGATTCATTTATAATCTAAATTTAAATATGTATAAAATCAGTAAAATTAAAATATTCAATTATAAAAATATTTACCTGCCAAAATGATACACCTCACTTCTTTTTAAATATTACTAATAATTTAGTTCAATATATTTCAGCCCAGCCATTATTTTTTATAAATTGTTTCAGTCTGTTTGTAATGAAGTCTGTTTGTAAGAATAGCTTTTTAGTGAATTTTGGACTGAGCCTGTTCAACTCTTCGAGGAGATTTTATTTATTTTTTTTTTAATTTGCTTTAGAAATTTACTGTTTTCTAATTTCTATCTCCAATTTTACCCATAGGTTAAATTTGGAGATTGTAATAAATGTTCTTACAATAACATCTATTGATTCTAGTGGAGTTTTAATAATTTGGAGCAATTTTAAAATAGCCATTCCTTAAATAAAATGGAACATTGTTTGGGGTCTTTAACCTGATAAAAACGTTTTTGTTTATTATGCTCAAATTAGAAATAATTACATGAACAAGCTCTTATAAAAACTAAATTTGTTTTTTAATCCCAGATTTAAAAAAAAAAATTTCAAGTTTCTCCTCAAACATGATTATTTTCTTTACCATGTGAATATTTCCACTATAAAGTGAAGATTTTCTACACCAGAAGCCGCCGTACATCAAATACTAAGAAACTGAATATAAGAAAAGAATAGAAAACTTAACATGAGAACAATAAAATAACATATTAATGGGAAGTTTACTGATGACTATAAATTATTATGTTCAATGTAATGTAAATAGAACTATTTGAGCCGTTTATTTTGAAAGTGGCCTATCTTCATTTATCTTCGAATCGAGATATTTAAGGGTTTGCTTTTCAATGAATTTAAAAATATAAGTATAGGATATTAATGATTCATACTGCTTAAGTGTATCTAAGGGTGTTAAATTTATGGTTATTATTAAAATAATAATAATAATAATAATAAATAATAGAAAGGCTTAGCGAACCCGAAGGTTCGATGCCGACACCACCAATCGCTTATTACACACCTCCCTCCACCGTTCGCCGTCCAAACCCAGTCCCTTCAGATCAGCTTTAATGCAATCTTCCCACCTTCGCTTCGGTCTACCCGTCGGACGCTTACCATTCGGCACAACAAATATTAACCTTTTAGGAATTCTCTCGTTACTAAGTCCAACAACTTTACAAGCCCATTTGATTCGCCGCGATGAAATTACCTCAATTATATTATTCGGATACAGTTCACGCAATTCGGCGTTGTGTAACCGTCTGAACTCTCCGGTTAACTCATCCTTCTTCGGTCCGAATATTCTACGCAATACTTTATTTTCAAAAACCTTAAGACGCTGCTCATCCCTTAATGTAAGCGGCCAAGTTTCGCACCCATAAAGAACTGTAGGCAAGATAATTGTTTTATAGATTCTAATTTTTAAGTTTCGGGACAAAAGGCGCGAACTAAGTAGTTTTGTCACAGAAAAATAACAAACATTTCCCGCCTTCAGTCTAACCTTAATTTCTTCTTCAATTTCGTTTTTCCTAGTTATCGTAGAACCTATATACCTAAACTTATCTACCTGCTCAAACATATTACCATCTATATCGATATCACCAGTAGTATCGCCATTTTTGCAGCTAACCATATATTTTGTTTTATCCACGTTTATTTCGAGTCCTAGTTCTTTACCGGCTTTCATTAACGTTATCGTATTTAGTTTTATAGTTTCAAGGTCTTCGCTTAACAGTACCAGATCATCAGCATAGCCCAGCACGGATGTTGTCCCACCCAGATCCAACCCGTTCTCGGTATGCATTACATCCCTAATGGCATGTTCTATGCCAAATTGAACAGTGCAGGCGAAAGGGAATCCCCCTGTTTTAAACCAGAACGAACCTCAAATTTTTCGGACAGATTATTACCGATTCTAACTTTATTGAGTGTCTCCGTCAAGCACATCCTGACTAGATTTACTAATTTTTTAGAAATCCCCTGCTCGATTAGGATATTATACAGTTTCTGGCGGTCAATAGAATCGTAAGCCTTTTTAAAATCTATATACAGCTGGTGAACAATACCGTTGGACTTATTGCATTGACTAAATAAAATAGTAACAATTATTAAATTGAAAAACACAATATTCAATTTATTTTACATATCTCTAAAACACAATCTATGCGATTCAAATCATTTTTTAATTACAGAACATACAAAATTACAAATATTTTATCAACAAACAATTTACTATTCATCTACATTTTACGAGTGTGAAAGGGATTTGAAGTAGTCATGATGTTCCGGTGGTATATATCGCAATAGGTCAATTTTGTTGTTGTAATTTGTCTGATAATTTTCTTGGTCTACCCCGACGTGGTAATAAATTCAGGACTTTAAAATTTTCATTCTCATTCATTGTTGTCTTATAAAACATTTTATACGGTTCGTTTCTAATAAAACTCATCCAAATTATTTGTGACCAGTTTACTGATTCTCTATCAGAATTCCTTAACCTCTTAAAAATTGTTGCTTCTTCTAACAATTTTGTTAGTACAAAATCTTTTTGTCTCATTTCATTTACAATAAAATTATTATTTTTCCGACTCTTTTTAATAATCTCGGGGAACGAACAGTAAATTATTCTTTCTTAAATGGAGTTAGTCCACTTTCAAACTACACGGTTCAGTTATTGAACTAATTCTGAAAATTTATGTGTCAAAAATCTATCGTATTTGCTCCGAATATAAGCAACCTGAAATGTTATACTGATATATACAGTATGAAGTTGTACATGTAACCATGGTAACCGGCAAAAAATTGAAAAACGAAGTTAGGCCAGTTTCAAAATAAACGGCTCATTTATTTATTCAATGATTACTGTAAATATTGAGTTGTATCATTTTAACTGTGAACGACTATATGTGTGTGTGTGTGTTGAATTCTATTCGATAATTTTTATTAGCCAGAGATTTCTTTAAATAATTACTTTTTTTATAGTTTGCGAATAAGTTCACAAATTTCGAATTTTTGTTACAGAATGGAGGTGCTGAAGATGGGTTGGACATGAACGTCGGTCCCGCCTGGGCCAAAGGGTACACCGGCAAGGGTGTAGTGGTGTCGATTCTCGACGATGGTATCCAAACCAACCATCCGGATCTCATTGACAACTATGTGAGTACTTATTTATTTTAATTCATTTATTTCATAAATTATTTATTTTTTATAAAAATGGAATTCATCTCTGCAATGTTGTATTTCTAATAAGAAATCAAGAAAAGAATGGAAAAATTCCAGAGGTGTACCCATAACAAATTTAAAAATTGTAATACTAATTGGAAGTAGAATTTATATCATTTTTAGTTAATCCATTTATAGTATTCAGTGGAACAGATCCATTTTTATCAAAATATTAACATCATGAATAGCTTCATCTAAATCTTAACCAATGACAAAGGGGACGCCCCCTCCCCTCAGTGGGGTCAATTTAACGGTCAGGCACATTGTGACTGAATGTTATGCATATGAAACACAACGGAATAAAGTTGAATTTGAGAACGATATAACTGAAACTCTGAAAAATAGCACCAAATTGGCAAAAAAAAAGTCTTTACATTTCTTCAAATAACGCACCTATACAACAAATTTTGCTGAATCTTTTTTTTTTGTTTTAAATATTTTATGCTTTCAATTTATTGTTAAATTTCATCTGATGTAAAATAAATATTTTGTTAGGGCTAAAATGACCCGTAGGAGGTTAAGGAGCTCCACCATTGTTATAAATAAATAATAAATAATCCTAACCAACAAATTTTTTATTTACGAAAACTGAATCGTTTTCAATCTAGATATTGGCAATCTTTTTCCATTTAATTATATATTAAAAACAAATAAACAACAATTTTCTTTCTCTATGAAACGTAATTAATTTTTTTTTTTATCTGTTTGTTGAGGAATAATACATTTTGCCACACTTGAGGGCACTGAGTACTAAAGCTGAGTGAGGCACATTCATACCATGTATACGATACAATAAAAAATAAGTAAATAAATAAATTTAAAAAAAAATTTACATTTATATAACAAAGGCAAAAACTATAATAAACCAATGAAACGTAACTTAGAGCTAAAATTAAATAAAATACAGAAATTCGTAGCAAAATTAAATAAATTGTAAGTAAAAGAAATATATACATGAAACGTAAGTAAATTCATAAAGCACCGACAACAAAGATTTATTGGTGTATTATGTTTATATAGCCACTATGTTACATATATATAAACTTCTATCTATATTTTATTTTTTATATATTTTTTTTATTTTTAATCCTGATGATGAATCATAATGGGTCAAAACTGCTATGTATTGTAAGAATCACCTGTGGAATATAGTTAATCATTTCCAATTAATAAATATATTCTAAATAAGCATTGCTAACACTAATATCTGGACGGCTACATGAGGGAGAGTAACGACCCACTATTGAGTGCAACCTTTTGTAAGATGCAATAAAACACTTAAGGATAAAGGGCGGTAAGAACACCGATGGACCGTCAACGGTCTTACGTGGGAGTGTTTAAAGAGGATCGAAGGAACAGAAAAACGTAGAAATATATACCTGCTGGAAACGGCTTGCGGGGCGTGGTCATCCCTTATGCTCGGATAACATCAGCCAATCAGAGAAACTACAAAAGAGAGGGGATGACAGAAAGGTTGGAAAGAGAACACTTAAGGAAGATGGCCTGAGAGAGCAAGATGGACTGAAGACTCCATAACGAGACAGCTGGGAGTCAATCTAGGAAGGCAGCCAGGAGAAGAGAGACAGACAGCTAGAGAAGTCGTAACATTCATTTATTTATACATATGTAACTTGTGTTGGCAATCATTAATAGAACCAATAGATCATTAGTAACTTCAAGCAGTCCTATCCAAAATAGCGTTCTCATCTAATATGATTCTCTACTACTCATTTATATATGTTTTGGTTTTGTTTAAATTTATAAATATATTCGTTATTATAACATCTTAGTAATTTTACAATCTCCCATGCATGCCACCGATTAATTATAGAAACAAATAGTAAATTTGTAAACACGATAACTTTCGAAAAGAATTCAATAAGAAGTATATTAATCAATCTAGGATACTACAGTAGGGGGTCTGTGGTATCTAACCTTTAAATACATAATTCATATATTTTTCAGTTGATCTGTTCCCTTTTGAAACCGATATAAATACAGATATAAATATTAAATACATTTAATAGAAACAAATGAGGAACATAGCAACACGTCAGCAAGCCTATATATGAACTACATATTTGTCATCCTCGTGGCTTTAAATTTTTTTCCGATTCGTAGCGTTATTGTCTGGAAGTGACGTTCTGACTTTCAGAGGTAATTTTTGAATATTGAAGGCATTCAATCAATCCACTCTTTTAATAAATATTAAAAGTTCTTTCCACATAAATAAATGCTTATAAAATCTTATTATATTTTATCGTATACAAAATCAAGTTAGCCCTGACTGAATATACGGCTACTCCTGCTGAATATTAAGGACGAGAGAGAAGCGATACATTGAAGGTCCGGCGGCATTCAATAGCCGGAGATAGAAGCAGTCCTTCGATATGGCTTATTGGAAAACCTCCGCTATCTCTGTACTCTCACCCTGGCTACCTAATCAATATTCCACTCTCCTATTTCATAAATACCCTTTATAAGTTTAGTCCTAAACAAAGGATGTTATTATTATCTCCATTGTTATAATATAGCACACTCATTTATTTAATTTAAACCCACCCTGCCGCTAAGGCAATATGGGTGTTATGCAGCAATGCCTTACAACTCACAGACACAGCCTGCTCTTCTTTTCAGCCGACGTCCTCTTCCATACTCTCTGGCTGTCTTCCGGATGCAGATCCATCTCTTCTTTCCAATGAAAGAAGGATTGAACCAACGAGTTCCTTCCACCTGTGTACGAAGATCTTGCAGCACGAGAAGTTCTCCTTAGTCATTAGTTAAGGGAGATCGCTCACCGTCTAAACGTTAAGCCCTGTTTCCCTCAACAACTTGGCCCTCAGTGCCTCAAAAGAGGTACAGACAAGGACGATATGCTGGGTGGTCTACGCTACTCTGGAACTTGGGCATAGGGGATCAATATTCTTACCATATTCAACGAGCTTTGCTTGGAAACCCCCATGCCCTGTGAGGAACTATTTGACCCTATAATCCGGGAGAACACATGTCTATTCCATTCTTGAACCAACGGTGGGGAAGTATTTTCTTAGCGTAGCCCGATTCCAAATAATTCGCCCTGGTCATGTTAATAGATTCATTTATAATTTCAATTTAAATATCTACAAACTCAGTAAACTTAAAATATCTAACTATTATTCCTTCACAGCTAAAATGATACACCTCGCTTCTTTTTAAATATTTCTAATAACTTAGTTCAATATCGTTCAGCCAAGCCATTATTTTTTATCACTTCTTTCACTCTATGTGCAATGAAGTAACAGTTTTTTCACGTCCTCACCCACCGCTGATTCTATTCTTTTAGCGTTTTCTCCCGAAGAATGCTCTTCTATATATTAGGGTCTTCACTGATCCTCACACGAAGATTCACCCGTAGATACAAGAGGCCTTCCCTCTTGATCATGTGCCGAAAGTAGTTTTCTCGTAGGAGAAGAACAATGGTTGTAGTTCCGGCTAAGACCTGTCCTCATGAGACACTGTCCGGTACACTCTAGTGACCCGTAGCAGAACCATCAGAAGACCTGGAACCTGGAAAAACACTTTTCCAAGAAGAAAAATCTTTTCTTCTGTTGGTGCGAAATATGATAACTCGCCGCAGGAGAGACATATCTCAGGATGCCCATAATGACTCCCTTATAAATAGTCAAAGTGGCTGGGTACCTGAGAACCTAAAATGATTCCCCGATGCGACTAAGTCCATTGAGAGCCAGGGCCACCCTACTTTCCATGTAGCCCAAGTGAGCCGTAACGTTGAAATTTCTTCCAATTCTTATACCAAGGTAAGTAACAGCCTCACTTGGACGTATCCTTTCTCCTTCTATTCTGAGAGTAGTAGGGTGGGCCCTGTCGGTCTTACCCCTTAAAATAATGGACTGGGTCCTAGGAGCCGCCATCTTCATCTTCTTTTTGTCGCACCACCCTCCTACTAATTTGGTACACCGTTCAGCTTCTTCTTTTAACCTGGTTCTTCTGTGTGAGGCCACTACAACGGCCAGATCGTCTACATAAGCTGTGGCGGGTAACCGCTCCTATTCTAGCACCCTCAGTAACTCATCTCCACAGGTCTCGACCGATAACTGAGCCCTGCGGACAACTTCTTTCCATCAACTCTTGTACTTCAAACAACCTACCTTTTATCTTCAATTTTCGGTCCTGGAGGTGTCTCCTTAAAAGACATATAAGTTGCTGGGAGTCTCATACTTGTGCAACTGCTGAAGTACTCTCGGCCACCAGACGCTATCAAAGACGGAAGATATATTGAACAGGAGAAGCATGACATATTTTTTCAATGTTATGGCGTACTCACTGTAGATCCGTACTGCCGTGGATGGCTCGCCATAGAGTAGACTGGTCATAGACTCGTCATCAACCAGGTCTCCAATAATTTACTCATGATAAGGAGGAGACATATAGGCCTATAACACTTGGCTTATTGCTTCTTATTGCCTCCTCGCTTGAAGAGCAGATTAATATCAGTCATTTTCTAACTTTTAGAAAAGTATATCTTGTGCAGGCAATCATTAAACAATGCCAACCGCCGAATAGTAATCGAAAAAAAAATATTTTTTTTTACCTCTAATTTTCAACGAGTAAGGAAAGTTAGTGAGAATATTTTTTTGAAAATGTTACAATGGATTCACATTTAATTTGCCTACAACATAAAACATACACAAATGGCACTTCGCTGTTTCTTTGCAAATAAGTACATTTGTAATACATACATATAAATCTATGAATATATAAGAGTATTAGTATACTATTAGCAAACATACAAATTAATTTATGTTTTCCTTAAATATTCAATAATGATTATGGTCAAGTTTCGACCACTGGGCGACCCTAGTCAATAACATTGGGTTGGCAAATAAGTCTTTTCGATTTTTCAGCGTGCAATAAATTTCAATGTATTATCGGCATAAAATTGATTTTAATCTACAATATATTGACCATTATTTAATATAACTTTTTCCCATCTTTCCACTATCCGCATATTGCCATGTTTATAGAATGTCTGCAGTTTTTTTTTTTTTAAACTGAATGGGTTTTTGATTGAATGCCCACATAAGGAATAAATAAACAAAAAACTCCTTACAGATTTTTATTTGTTATCTCCATTTGTAGTTTGTTTACGAAGGTCCTGTTGATGTCATTTTGATTTAGTTTATGCGGTCCTAAATTTCTGCTAAATTTCTTGTAGATAGCTAAAGTCGTATGGAAGTAATTACATCTTTTGTGACTCGAAAAAAAAATCGTATGGGGGACCCAAACATTAAGCCTGGAAACATGTGCAAATTTAGGGTCATAACAATCTCTCTCACTAATTGGGTGGAATTTTGATCATACAATGGCCTTAACATTACTCGTTTCAATTTCATGTGGGAGACCAGACCGTTGATCATTATTGATGTCAAAATTTCTTGAATGAAATTTGGCAAACAAATTTTGACAGAAACACAATACTAATCTAGTTTCAACAAGAGTTAACAGATGCAGTTGATGACATATTACAAACAGGATGAACAATCCACCTTAGGTATTAATTAATCAGATAAGAAGTGTAAGAACTTATTTTCCAATCCAATAAATAATTATTATACTATAATACAAATTTAATTTAAATTTAGCTTTTGTGTTGTTATTAATTCAGAATTTAGATTGTTTGTTACATATGTAGGATACATTGATATTCATGATATTCACCTTAAAAGTCCAGTTTTGCATATAACAGTTGGATTTTTTATAATGATTTTATAATAACTGATGGAGCACTTGATTATAGAAGTGAACTAACCGTATGAGTGATGCTGAGTATTTCCCCATAGCCCATGGCCATTGTGTCATATTAAGCCTCCATCACGTAATGGAGGGAATTACAAGCTATTAAGAGAGAGAATGGACGCGGAACGAAGGGAGAGCATGAACTAAACACATTAGCCCCGAGACCTTTAATAGAATCACTATCGGCCCCAACACACGGGACCAAAGGGCGCTCCCTGCCAGGGAATTAGCTGACTCTTCTCAGTGCTCTAGTTTCACCGGATTTCCTCCTCGTCCCATCTTACCTTTTCCCTCTTAACGATTGTTCTTCTTGTCTCGGTAATGGAAAGAGTTCCTCGCAAAGAATGGATTTGAAGGAATTATAATATAATAACATAAAGAATTATAATATATAATTATGTTATAGATAGTATTCCAAAAACATATCTCTATAATACTATATTATAATCATCTCTAAATATATATAGATATTGGGTGGATCCAAACTTCGTTCGGTTTTTGAAAGGGTGAAAGGGTTCGGCTTTTTTTTCATATAAAGTATACATTTTATTCTGCAATGTATTTGCCGTTTTTATTAATGACCTCTTGCTATCATTCTGACAATTCTGGGGCTTAGAAACGAAAAACTGATCGAGATACGTTTTCAGATATCTTCCATCAGCGAACGATTTCCCGTTGAGGAATTTCCGGAGAGACTAGAATAAGTGGTAGTCGGATGTTGCAAGGTCTGGTGAATACAGTGGATGTAATAAAACATTCCATCCAAGTTGCGCTAACTTTTACTGTGTGATTATTGTGGAGTGTGGTCTGGCGTTGTAATGGTGGAAGATGACAACTTTACGATTGACTAAATCTTGTTGTTTCTGCAATAATCCCACCATATAGAGAGAAAAATCTTTTCCAGCCTTCGCGGTGGCATTAGGCGGTCGTCAGCGGTTTTCCAATATCTCATGCGTACTACATTGTCGCAGATGACTTTCACGTCACAATCCAATTGAGAATGGATCCATTTAGTGCCGGTACAGAAGAGAGTTGCAGATTAATATTCGGTTGGCCAGAATTACCACTGTCATTTTGTGTGGCCCCCAAACATCGGAGCGGGAGACGTAGCCAAGCTGGTTTAAAAACATCTTCGAGACACCTATCTGCAAAACGAAATTCTGAAAACGATTTTTGAGCAGTACTTTCTTTTAAGGCATCTTAAAATTACATATCTTTTGGTGGATCTTCGAAGCTCGCTTTCCTTTTTTGAAATAAAAAAGCAAAAAATACCGAAAATGCACTTTATCATTTGACATATTTACTGAATGCACAAATGAAACTGATGCAAATGAAACCAAACACAACAGTTTCGAAGAACGGACTTTAACCTTTTCGATAAGTATCATTATTGTCATATAAGGCAAAGAGAACTGGAGATATGTTAATAAAATTCGCACTACCAACAAAAATTGAACGAACTTATGGATCCACTCTATATGTATAATAAAAAAGATGACTTGTGAGATAGCGTCTTAAGTTAGATAGTTATAAACAAACAATTTTTTTTTTACTTTGTATGTTTTAGGGAAACTTACACTACTCCAGCAGGAATGAAATATTTATTTATTTTTAATGATATTCAGTTTATAAAAGAAAAATTAAATTAAAATTCCCTAAACTATTTCATTCAGATTTTTCCATAATACATTAACCAGCATCAGTTCTAAAACTCAAGAAATACTATCGAAAAATTTGAAGAGAAATTGGTCGAGGGTGCGGTAAATAAACACTTACTAAATATTGCAGTAATACTTATTTCATAAGCTAACAATTCGATCTAGGTTGTAGATTTTTATCAGAACATTTCATTTAGTACTGCCGGAAGAGGTTAAAAAACAGTTTCTTCGCTTAATCCGGAAAAGCCTCATACTTTCGTGAAAAACAGCTTTGAGTTCTACCAACGAATTTCAGAATTCACTCCTCATCTGGAATTCAAATTTCCGATATCCAGTTTTCGACTGATCTCTATGTTTCAGAGCTCCCGAGAGAACACCGTTTAGCCTGTTTTTTGAAGGTGGTCATATTCTCTACAAAACTATTTAAAAATCGTTCATTTCGGGCAACTATTAACGAAGTTATAGCTATTCATTTTTGTATGTAAGAATACGAGTTAATGTGCGGTCAATGCTAGAAAATAAAGAAAAGTAAGTGAAAGTAAGAAACTCTGTTGCCCTCATCACACTAGTTTTCTCTCGAATTCTAACAGAAATTATTGTTTGACGAAATTGGGCTAAGGTAAAAAAGTTTTTGATTAAGAATATAAGAGTGTATTGAAATGTTTACACTGATCTACCTTAAGCCAGTTTACATTGCTTTAGTTTATCAAATAAATCGTACTCAAATCTTTTCTTTGATCAATTTTCAGGAAAATGGATGTAATTCAATTTTTTACTTTCACTTACGTATATATGTAATAATCAGTAAGGGTAAGTATTGCGATCGTGAAAATTTTCGAATCTCAGTTTTCAACGGAAATACAAGTTTTGAGGTCCCCTGAGTCCAAATAACCAAGTGTCGCAAAATGGTCTGTGTGTTAACAGTCTAGCTCATAAACGAAAAGTAGTACGAAACTGATATTAAGTATTTAAGGTTTGTATATGGGCCGGATGTGACAGCTACTTTTTTGTTAAAATCGGCTAATCGGAAGTGCCACTTTATATGAACGCTGAAACACATTTTTACAATTTTCTCAAAAATGGTTTTTTAAAAGTTGATGGAATTTCCCAAAAAAACAATAAAAGTCGTTGAAATCGGAAAATTAGGAGGAAAGATTTAAAATATACTTTTTTAATTCTTGAGACTAAAAAAAACCTTTTTTCTACAGGTATTTAATAAAGTATCTTTCCTAAGAAATAAGTAGCTAAATTTATACCTTTATTCTCAGTTCTATATTTCAACACTACAATCACCACCTCCGGAATCAAATTACTCATTTTCTGAATAGATAACTTTTTCAGCTAAAAATATCACTAAAATGACATTACTCAAAAATGTTGAAATTGAAGTTAGTCATTCTGTGGTTTATAAAAGCAAAGAAAGTTGTGTAGTTTATAAAAGTAGATGGAGTGACTAGATTTTTATTGCTTATCGTCGATATATTAAACAGACATTTTGTAATTATAATGGTCTTAATTACTTTTTATTTGAAAGCTTTAAGCTTTAGCTCCGTTTAAAATGCACTTAAAAACATTTTATAATAGCCCAGGTTTGCCAGAATAATAATTTCTATTCAAATTAGAGCGGTAAGTGAAAGTTGTGTGTTGCGCGCACCAGATTTTTTTTTCTTTTTGGGCATATTTAAAGATACAAAAACTGTTCTGAAATACATAGGAATGTCGTGTGAGTGGACATACCAGATTTTTTTTTTGTATGTTGAACTTTGAAATCTTAAATATTAAATGAAAGTTAGAATATTTAGCATATGTCTTGCCACACACGCACAAATTGATTTTTCTAATTGTTTCAAAAAAAAAAAAAAAAGACGAAGCTATTTGCTGGGGACTCAAATATTCTAGATCACTGAGTGCTTTGTCGAAACCCACCGGCGAGAGAATCCTCGATTGGTGAGAATCTCTGAGTGGGCCAAAGTGATTTTTCATGCTGGCACAAAGCTGTCTCTAGCGACCCGCCCTCCAGCGGCTGCATGAGGAACTTCACGATTGCCTACACCATTGAGTAAATATATCAAAGGTGATCAACTACAAAACATTTTTGCGAAGTTTCATAACTTTCATTTCTGATAGAAATCTGAATTATTGATATCATATAGCTAGGTTATTTCTCAAGTGAATCCTAATCGATTTTTTTTATATATCAAGATTAGTATCGATTTTTATCTAACATCATTCAAAGAATCCGATGAAACCATTTAAAAACGAACTTAAATATATTTTTTTTAAAAATTGGTGTGAATATAAATTTATTTTAACTATTTTTTTTTTTTTCAAGGGATGCAAAGATACTTGCATTTCTTAAATGCTAACATAAGAATCAAAATCCTATAAAAATAGAAAACATCTAAAAAATAAAATTGCGGTAAGTCCGGGAGAAACTTACTAAATTGCATTAAGGAATATTCAATTAAAATTTTATAACGCCTTCAAAATACTTAATAATTGATATTTTTACTTCCCTACTTATACTAGTTAAGGAAAGTATCGCGATCGAAACAAATTTCTGATTTGCGGTTTTAGATGGATCTATACGTTTCAGAACCCGCTGAGTCCAAAAAACACATTTTTAGCCATTAGTCTGTCTGTGCCAAGATTTTCTCGTTAACTAGTGAACCGATTTTGTTGCTTCTTTTTTATTTTGTATGGTTTTGACTACTGATGCCTGTGACACAAATTTGGTGTTACATGCGCAATAGCTGCTGCACTTTAAATGAAAAACAGGTTTTTCTATAGACTGTAGCGCGAAACGTACTGTTTAATTCAATCAACTGCACAGTTGCAATAATAACCAACAGTTAATTAGGTATCATTATGTATTCATCTAAGCTAGGTTAATAACTTAATACTGTGATTCTGTTATTATTCTTAGGGGACTGTAGTCCCAGAATAAAATTATTTTTTCATTCATACAAAAGGTCGTGGGGCCACTGCCATTTTAACCTTTTTGGAGGATTAAAATTAAAGAGATGGGTGGTGCTAGAAAGGGTTCGTGCAAGTGGTTTAGGATGACATGTAAGGTTCTGGTGAAATTTGGAATATTTTTCTGAGATAAGATGTAGGACAAATGGTATATTAAGGCTTCTTAAAATGATTTTCAATGTTCCTTGTGTTTAGGGCAAGTTCACATTAAAAAGAAAAAAAATACTAAAAATGTCTTTAATTTGTTTTTAAAGGAATTAAAAACTAATGATTTGCAATAATCAGCTTTAGGCCTCGAAAAAAGGAAAGATCTCTTACTAACTGATGGAAGATAATTAGATGGATTAGCAGATAATTGTTTCCTGACGTTTTGATCATATAGTTTTGTGACTATCGAGGAAATATAGGTAAATTGACTAAACTTCTTTTTTCACACGAGGGAGAGAATATCCAGCTGTATTCAGGAATGAACAAAAATAAAAAAGTCGGTAACCCATCGTGCTAGGAGGCAGTGGACAAAAAAAAATTCATTTAACTTTGCCAGTGTGAGTTGTGAACAGGGCTGGGAACTGTGAAGGAGTTTTATTCGGTTTTGGAGTGTTGTGTAGAGAGCGCCTCTGTCAGCACCACTGCCTCCTCCATCCACACCTATGCCTCTTTGATTACCTTTTATTATTCTCTTAGTGGCTCTGGTAATCCATACCACATTGAAATAGTATAATAATTAATCGATAATATTATCAGAATTGTCATTCATTTTACTTCTTTCTAAGCATAAATAACTGCACGTTATATTTTTATTTTTTTTTATTTTAAAAAAATGTGCTCTCTATCAATCTCCGCTGGCTTTAGTACCATTGAAGCGGTTGAGAGAATAGCGCAGGGTTCTCTTCTAGAGTTCCCTCGCCTGATTGTACATATTGTATATTGGTATGCATGTGTTTTTTGCTTAGTTTTAATTATCTTATTTTTAGGTTATTTTATTTTATTTATTGTATATACTTTTTGATTATTATTTATTGTTATTTTGCTTCTATTTATTTTATATTTTTCGTTCATATAGTGTGAATGTTATTCTACCTCACTATAACTTGTGTCCATGTGACAGGTTGTTGTAATACTCAATAAATAAATAAAAAAAATAATATACTTTTTTAAAAAAGTGAAATAAAATAAAAAATAAATACTAATGTTATGGGTAATTTCATGATTGCTGGTCAATTTGAGAAACTCGATAAACAAAAAATAAATTTGATTATTAAAAACTATTCAGGTGGAATAAAAACAAAATATATATTTATATTAATTAAGAATAGTTTCCTCATGCCCTTAAGAATGCAT